GGATGGAGAATACTAAGCTGAGAACAGAGTAACTGAGTTTAGCAATGTCTTTTATAACTTTGTAATATAGGGTATGGAGCTCTTTCATCTGATCCATGGCTGCAGTCAGGTAGCGGATAGTCTTTCTGCAGATGGGGACTCCCGTGTGCTCCGGATTCCTCCGACACTGATCATTCCAGAAAACAGCACTCTGGTCTGCCTGTTCATTAGGTGGCCAATCTAGCTCTCCAGAGGTCAGCGGGTATCCAGCTCTTCCTCCCTCCTTCACTCTCTTTGTGGTTCTGGTCCAGCCCAAACCTCCAGCGTCCTGCACAGCTTTCCTCTTAAGCTCTCACTGTTCACCTCCTCTGGTTCCTGGGCTTTGGTATTTATTTGCGCCCACTCATCAGCCAGCTCCTCTAGGAAATGTGGTTTGTCAGCTCCACAATAAACATCGAAGTCCTGCTAGCAGCCTACAAGTCTCACAAATCTCTTCTTTGTTAGAGTCCGACTAATTGGGCTGCAGGACTCTGTCATCTTGTGTCCATTTAACATTCTGCACCCAATATTTGTGCAGGGCGTTACACTATCTTGCAATGGTTAACTGAAATAAAGCAGACAAAAAGCAGAAATAGCTCAGCACAGGGGTTCCCACTATGGACACATCCCTAGCAGCAACTATGGAACAGTCCCCCCCAAAAAAAAGGGTGCAAAGGTAACATTCCCTCTTCCTGAGATTTCTCTTAGCCTACTCACTGTGCCGCAGGCAATTTGAAGACCTTCTTCCTGCTTCATCTGACACTGGCACAAAAGTATCCCGGAAAGATCCTCTTTGGATGTTGCCTGGGTGTTCCTGCAACTTTTGGAGTGATCCTTCAGCTCCTTGGTGAGATAGAATCATCCAGGATTTCTTAAAAACTTGAGCTCTCTAAAGTTTAACTTCCTTCATGACCAGACCATTTTTGCTATTCATCACTGTGCTACTTTAACTGGCAATTGAGTGGTCATGCAATACTATACGCATAAGACATTTTTATATTTTTTTTCATACAAATAGAGCTTTTGGTGGCATTCGATCACCACTGGGTTCTTTTATTTTTTTTTGTGATATAAATGAAAAAAGACCAAAAATTTTGGCAAAAAAACAATATGTTCTACTTTGTTAAAAAACATTTCCAATAAAATCAAATTTTGTCATAAATTTAGGTCAAAATGTATTCTGCTACATGTCTTTGGCAAAAAAAATCCCAATAAGTGTATAGTAATTGGTTTGTGTGAAAGTTATATTGTCTACAAACTATGATATACTGTACAGCACCTTAAAAAGGTGAAGATCTACCTGAACAACATGGGAGAAGTCAAAGATCACCGGGCACAGTGCCTCCTCCTCCTGATTTAGACCTCTAATTGCCGTACTACAGTGTTGCAATAGCGTGATTTAAATCAGGTTGCAAGGAGGCAACATATCGCCTGCTCACAACCTGTCAAACACACTGGGATCACTTTTCAAAGGAGCAGCCATGTCTTCTGCACTTGTGAACGACCCCTTATTTGCATTCGGCAACAAGACCCTTAGAGCTCGTTCACACATAAAGTTGGGGGGGGGGGATAAAATCCTGTGGTTTAATACATTCAGGAGTTTTGGTACGCTTTCAGAAAGTGCCCCAAACCCAAAGGATATAATAGAAGTCTATTACTAAGTACAGCAAACCGGCAGGAAAGCTGCCGGTACACTGCACTGAACCCGCAATGGGGATAAACCACAGTCCTATATTATTATGCTCAGTGTATTGCTGAACACTGACCTGAAGATCTTTTCTTTCCTGTTTCTGGCACCATTCTGGAGAACGCTAGATGGGATAAGAGGTGGAGTGCAGTTGGTATCACTCTACATGGGACAGGAACCAGCACTATAGGGAAGGCACCAGCTTATGCGGTTCTTGCTCCCTACTACAGCTCCAACTTTACAAGTAGTCTCTTTACATTGAACTCAGTTTGGTGCTCTGGTATGGTGGGTCAGCAAACCAAGATCGTGATCTGCCAGTCACCTAGCCCCGATCTACTGGTTGCTGACCCCCAGTATACAGTATATATTGATCAATCCTGATGTACTGAGGGCCTATCTAATCTCTTGAGGCTCTATAATGCCTGGGCAGTACATATTTTCCCAAAATTACCCATTTTTGGAAAGTAGACAGTCTGAGGCATTTAGTAAGAGTCATTGTGAGTTTTTTGAAGTAGTAATCTTTTGTCACATTTTTTTTTTAAATGAAAAAATTTAATAAAATTAGTTTTTTTTTTCACATTTCTTTTTACATGCTGTCACCAGTGCATCATCATATGACTGGTGTGGTGATTAGGGACACTGAATAGTGACATATGTAAAAAAAAAAAAATTTTTTTTCTGTTTTTTAAACATATTTTTTAAATTTTTTACAATTTTTTTTACATGTTTTCATCAGAGTAATTCAGTGTCACCATAGTAACATTGTACTACTCTGAGGGGGTGATCAGGGATTTTTGTAACCACTTTGTTTGCTGTTACAATGAAGATCATTGTAACAGCAAAGTTTTCAACTGTCATGAATGGGTTAACCATTCATGACAGCTGTGATCATTAGTGGTCTGTAATTGACCACAGCTATTCACATGGTACAGGGTGCTGTAATTGGCCCAAGTACCATGTGACAGCACGGTGGGCCAATCACAGCCTAGGAAACACAGCTGTTATATGAATGAATTAATTCATAACAGCTTTGTTGACACTGATTATGTGATTACCGGTATCCGGTGAACCAGTATCCGCATTCCTCTGTAGCAGCAATCCTGGAGGGGGTGAGGCGCACCGCTAACATACATGTACGTGATTTGGTCTGCAGGTGCTGCCCAGCCACAGTATATGTACTGCGGCTGGTTGGAAAGTGGTTAAAGCTTCTCAGACCCTTGAAAGGTGTAACAGCACTTCCAGGTAGGCTCACTCTCCAGCAGGCAAAAGACCCTGCTACTCTCTGCTCCAGGCCCAATATACACCTCTCCACCCCTGCTGGTCACTCTTCCGACCCGGAATTGGCTGAGGCTGTATCCAGGGCCAGCTCAGACTCTACCCTCTTCACTTTCCACCCACTATGTTCCAAAGATTATTGGAAAGACAGGAGGAGACAGGCAAGCCTGCAGAATAGATAAAAAGGAATGGTGGTGATACTACCAGAAAGTTCCTTGTTTGGACATTTCTTTTTATAGTGTGACATTTTATCCCCTTCATATTGTGCCCCTGCATTATCATGCCATGACACAGGCTTCAGACAGGGATTACAAATGGCCGTTTTAGCAAACATTATGTGGGCTTAGTCCACTTTTTTTCTCCATCAGGAAAGCTATTCTGAGAAATACCATGCAACCATCACTGTATTGCATGCCTGTATAGAGGAAAAGGCTTCAAGGAGGCTCCAGATGATCTACAGCACTGAGATGCAATAATGAATGAAAAAAGGCAAAACAAGCATTTTTGAAATTATAATTGTTTATGATATATAATGTTCTAGCAAACTTAAAGCGGAGTTCCAGCTGAAAAAAAAGAAAAAAAAAGTCAGCAGCTACAAAAACTGTAGCTTCTGACTTTTAAAATACAGCCACTTACCTGTCCCTCGGTCCAGCGGTGTCCTCACCGCCACTGGCTTCACTGGCCGTCTTCTCTCCCTGGCAATGGCATCTTCAGTGTGGGCACCCGGCTGTGACAGATAAGGATGGTATAAAGTGAGCGCTCCTAACCAAGCAGCTAGCACTAGAGGTAATCACAGTGTACCCGTAAACAACAGAATAGTAATAACAAAGTGCAGCGCTGAGAAATGAGTGTAAAAAGCAAATAGTCCGTGGTTATTAGCTACATATAAATATATAGTCCCAAGAAAAAGCTGATGAAGACCAGGAAGCAATGGAAAGAGTGCGCACTCACCGGACGCGCATGGAAAATGCGCATAAATGAATAACTCCTGGAATCCTAGAGTAGATGGAGAGGGTGAATTCCAATATGTGGATCAGTCAGCCTGGGAAGATATATCAGAGATCCGGAGGTCCCCTTAAGGTAGGTATGATTATCAGCCAGACTCCAAAAGCTCCGTACGCAAAAATCTCCCGCGAATTCTCACGTGCTCTCCTACCATTAGCCGGAAGTGTAGACAAAAAGCGAATCCATCTATAAGCCTTATATATTTTATATATAAGGCTTATAGATGGATTCGCTTTTTGTCTACACTTCCGGCTAATGGTAGGAGAGCACGTGAGAATTCGCGGGAGAGATTTTTGCGTACGGAGCTTTTGGAGTCTGGCTGATAATCATACCTACCTTAAGGGGACCTCCGGATCTCTGATATATCTTCCCAGGCTGACTGATCCACATATTGGAATTCACCCTCTCCATCTACTCTAGGATTCCAGGAGTTATTCATTTATGCGCATTTTCCATGCGCGTCCGGTGAGTGCGCACTCTTTCCATTGCTTCCTGGTCTTCATCAGCTTTTTCTTGGGACTATATATTTATATGTAGCTAATAACCACGGACTATTTGCTTTTTACACTCATTTCTCAGCGCTGCACTTTGTTATTACTACCCGGCTGTGACAGCTTGTGATTTCACAGCCGGGTGCCCACTGCGCATGTGCAAGAAGCACTGAGCTTTGTGAATGGCCCCGTAGTCTTCTGGGACCTGTCATGTATCCCAGAAGACTGGGGAGGGAGGGGAGAAGACAACTTCCGCTTCTGATCACTTTTGCGATTGCAGCGGAAGTGGGAGTGGGCACCTGTCAAATTCGGGTACCTGCTCCCTTCCTGCTCCCCAAAGGTGCCAATCCTTAATGGGGAGCGGGGGGGGCAAAGCAATAAAGCGGAACTTCCCCTTTTGGGTGGAGCTCTGCTGTAAGTGGCAATAGATGGATCTGAATTTGACCAGTTCAATGGGGACCAGCCAAATTTCGATCCAGCAATGGACATTCCCACTCAAAGTGTTACTAAACCCAGGACCCTGCATTCACTCTATCTGGTCTCCCACAGTACATAGAACATGGTAATGCAATTATTTTAGTAAATATAAACTACTAAATACCTTTTTTCATCAGAAGCAGTCTTGTGACTTCTATCAGTGTTCAGCCAAGTACTAGCTAAAGCTTGTAGGAGTTTTCTTTCTGCTCTAGGATGCAAAAACCCCTGACCTCTGTATGACCAGTGCTCATTGGCCCTGTGCTGATCACATGCTCTCTCCCAAGAAGAAGAAAAAAAACTTTCTAGCAATACACACCAAACTGAGCATGTGCAAAATGCCTACAGTTCAGTCTGCCTTATCAGGAGATAAGAGGTGGTCGCTTGAAAAAGGGGAGGAACAGAGAAGAAAGGATCAAAAGGCCTTTATACACAATGCAGAGGATTAACCCCTTATGTTCCACACTGAGTATAACAAGCATGCTTTACTGCATATACAAACTGATTTTACTGTTGTGGGTTTAGTAACACTTTAACATAAGTCGATCTAACAATCAAATTTTGTTGAATGGGATGTTGGAAAGTTTTCATTCAGTTGGTGGCTGCAGTAGATTGGCTTGATCTGTGTATTCTTACAGTGAAGGAATCTCCACAATAACACAAAAGGAAGGAATCCTCCATCCTCCTCACTTGTGTGGATGGGGGAATCCATTTTTTTTTTTTTTTTTTGATCATCCCATTGCCTGATTGAAAAAAATCAACCCATCTATGGCCAGCCTAAATGTCAGTGTTTTCATCTACTTCAGCCGTATTATGATGACAGGTTCCCTTTAACACTATTTGTAACACTCACAGACTAGGTGATAATATGAAATTTTACTTTTTTTAATAAAAGGCTAAATATGCAAGTCACAGATTAATTGATGTAAATCTTGTTTACAAATATACCTCACAGAAGAAGTTTACTTTGACTTTACAGAAGAAGTTTACTTCGACTTTACAGAAGAAGTTTACTTAGACTTTCGCTTCATCCATTCTGAAGTTTGACTTTTTCGGTCCTTTTGACCTTGGAGACTTTTTGACTGCAGAAATGGAAAAGTCATTTAATAATGCCGAGTAATTGAAGTTATTCTAATTTTCAAGCCCACCATCTCTAGCCTTATTAAATTTGACTTTATTTTGTTACAGCATATAGGAGTCATAAATATGAAGAGAGCCGCTCAAACAAGATGGAACTTGAAATGTCTATCACCAGGCCTTTGCACAACTGTGTGCTTGCTTTCTATAGACCTTTTCCAAATACCAACATTTGAAAGTATATTAAGACCCATGTTTTCATTAAGAGCTTTAATATAGAGGCAATCAATGTAATTTGAAGCAGTGCTGGGGAGTTAGCGCTGTACTCAGCCATTGTCAGTTCTTCAAAGCATCCGTCCTGCCTAATGACTTGTTTAGAATGACTGCGGGATTAAAAGCGTTTACCATATTAAAAGTGAATCTGCTATTTTTTATTCTCCCTACAAATTATCTTGGCAGTTTTAGAGCTTTTCACAGATAGGTCTAAGTGCCTATCTTACACCATTACCATGGTAACCATGGGATGTGGAGTATTTCGGAAACGACTGAATGACTGTTAAAAAAATGCTGAGATGCCATTGCTTCCTGTTTGACTACTAACAAGTCAACTGGCAGGAAGGAGGTGAACTTTTGTATATATATACTATATATATATAGTATATATATTAATATTTGGGGGTTATTTAGCTCAGGGTAGGGGCGGACTGACCATTTGAAAACTCGGGCACTGCTCGAGGGCCGGGGTCAGTAGGGGGGCCCATGAGATGCCCCTGGTACCTTTTTGATAGGTTTTTTTGAGTTTGGGCAAGGACACAGGGGCCCCATGATCCCTATTGCCCAGGGGCCCCATGAGTCAGTCCGCCCCTGGCTCAGGGTAGCTCTTACCAGTGAGAAGAGTCCACGCCAGCAATTATTGTTTAAAGGCTTGTTGGCCGATTTTTTTAACCGCTTTAGGACCGCCCACAGTAGATTTACTGCTGCAGAGCGGCTCCTGTGTGTAAAATCATGTATATATACACGTTATTTTGCATTTCCGGGTAGGGGGCGAGCGCAAACTTTGCCGATTGTGGCCCCGCCAGTCAATCACCGAGTCCCAGTGGGTGATTACCCGCCGATGCCTGGTGATTAGTGGCGATCACTGACAGGGAGGAGGGCAGCATTGTTTACCAACAGCCCTCCACCATGTCAGTTTGGGCACACTGCTCTGGATGGCTGAGCAGAGCCATCCCGATCAGTGTGCTTACAGTGAAGCACACACCCCTCCCTCCCACCTCCTAGTAAAACACTCCCAATACACAGTTAACTCTTTAATTGCCCCTCATTGTTAACCCATTCCTGCCCAGTGCCACTAGTACAGTGTCAATGCTTTTTTTTTTTTTTTAGCACTGATCACTGTATTGGTGTCACTGGGGATGTCAGTGACATCAAATCAGTTCCCCCCAGTGTCAGAATGCCCGCAGCAGTCCCGCTATAAGTTGCTCATCACCGCCATAAGTCACTGATCACCGCCATTATTAGTATTTAAAAAAAAAAATTCCAGTATCTATAATGACATTTGTAAAAGCTATAAGTTTAACGTAAACCAAATAATTTACACGTATTGGGATTTTTTTTTTAGCAAAGACATGTTACAGAATACATTTTGGCCTGAAGGTATGACGAAATTTGATTTTTACATTTTTTTACTGGACATGTTTATCAGCAAAACGTCCAAAATATTGTCGGTCTTTTTTTTATAGCGCAAAAAAAATAAAAAACGCACAGGCGATCAAATATCACCAAAAGAAAGCTCAATTAGTGGGGAAAAAAGATGTACATTTCATCTGGGTGCAGCGTTGCATGGCAGTGCAATTGTCAGTTAAAGTAACGCAGCACCATAACGCTAACAGCTTCATTAACTGCTACCTGACTGTCCTATAGCAAAAATACTGCTACAGGGTGGCATGGGTGTGGAAAATCACGTATTTATATGTGATTCACGCTCCCGTGGTTTTCACGACCCTCCCAGATAGCATCAGATTGCCCGTCCGTACACCAGTCATCACATTTAACCTCTTGATTACCTGGAACACGTTCATACACAAATAAACCTCCATTGCTAGTATAGTGTCTGAAAGGATCAATATCTTTGATCAGATCAGCACTATACCAGCGTTCACATTAGTATAGCGTCCTCAAAAACATAGCGTTAGCGGGATCATTCCTGGGACCTGCGATTAGCCCCTACGCTTACCCCCCCCTACTCCCCCAGCAAGTGCATTGTCAGTAGGTCACTGTCACTTGACACATTGCACACAAAACCACAGTGTTTGCAGAATCAGGCCTGATCTCTGCTAGCACCTTCTGGTAAATTTTGATGACTTTCATATGCAGCAGAGTGCCAGTACTAGTGCCACTCTACCTTTTGGTGAACTGGCGAGTACTAGCGACCTAGTACATCCTGGTCTTTCACATACTAACACTGCAGTATCACTTGGTGACGTGGTGAGTCCCATAAGTGCAGTACAAGCTGGTGCAGTAGCGAGCTCAAGTATTGTTCCGCAACCACCAACAATTCTCACACAGGCCCGTAGAGCCCCTAGTATCCTTCCCGATGTGCTTGCAAATCTCGATTGGCAGCCCACAAATTCAGCAGCACCTGTACTTCCCCTGTTCACTGCCCAACCCTGAATTCAGGTGGAAACAGCAAATTTAACTACTCCCCTTGATTTTTTGGAGATCTGTATGCACTGATTGTGGATCAAAGCAATTTATATGCACAACAATGTATTGCCACAAACCCCAATTCAAACCTTGCCAGACCATTCGCATGAAAACCCATTATGGTTTCTGAATTTAAATTTTTGGAGGGCCTAACCTTCAACATGGGCATTACTAAAAAAAATTAATTGCGATTGTATTGGACCCGATTCATCATATGCCTGTGTTCTCTGCTGCCATGGCCAGGCATAGATATGAGAGTATAATGTATTTTATGCATTTCAACGACAATACACTTGGGGTGACCCTGAATTTGACCGGCTCCACAAAATTTGACCTCTCATAAATCACCTTAACCAAAATTTTACAGATGTCTATACTCCCCAAGTATAAAAAAATCTGCATTGATGAGTCCCTCATTAATTTTTCTGGCATTCAAACAATTTCTCCCCTGCAAGCGTGTCAGATATGGGGTCAAGATGTATAAGACCTGTGAGAGGGCAACAGGCTATACATATACGTTTCGGATCTACGAGGGAAAAGATAGTCACGTGGAGCCCCCCGGATGCCCAGACTACATGGGGAGTAGTGGCAAAATAGTTTGGGACTTGATGTCATCCTTTGTCCATATGGGGTACCACCTATACGTGGACAATTTTTATTCAAGTGTGCCATTATTTAGACATTTGAACATTCCTGAATTGGTGCATGTGGCACCATGCGACCTAATGTGTGCCCACTATTAGAAGTGGGTGGATGCAGGGCAGTATATTCTAATGGTGGGCATACCATACACTTTTTCTGGCAGAGATTTCTTCTCTTTTTTTCAATTCAGCCCACAGGCTGCATACGAAAAAAAAAAAAGAACATAGCATATATACCCAACAAAGACCAGCGACGTACTGGTACATCACTGGACTTTGAATGGTTATGCCGGGATGATGCCTACAGCTGCAGGCATCATCCTGGTATCGTTTTTTTTTCAGCCGGCGATTTGGCTTTCGTGTAAAAGAGATCTGAGTGGCTAATTAGCTGCAGAATTGCTTTTACAAGCAGCGGGAGACAATGTCCCCCCTCCTCCGCTGCCTTCCACGGCCTTCTCGGGCCAGGGGGAACTTGAGAATGCAGCCGGTGTTTCTGCCAGCTGACCATAGAACTGATTGGAGACCCGAATGGTGCCAATCATCTCTATAGTCTAAGAAATCAGAAGCTACGAGCATTTCATCATACCTTAGGACAGCAAGTGGTTAAATAAAACAAAAAAATCCCATACAATGTATGGGGTATCCACCATCAATGCAAAAGAAAAACATTCAGACTCCTGGCTCTCTTTACCAGCACTGATGCTTAGGCTTTATGCCTCAGTCCTCTAGACCATTCACATACAAAACGCTATACCTAGGTTAGCACTTTTTCACATCATTCCTGCTTCTCCAGCCCACAGGCTTGGGCCCTGTCTGCTCTGTCAGACTACACCGTACCACCATGAATGCTTGTGGCTGCTCCCTTGCACCTACATGGATTCCTCGGGAGGGTGGAGCCTAGAACCCTGGTCCTGACTTTAGAAGAGACCCACACACACCTGCACAATCAGTCTCCTGGCCAATCCCAAAACCTGGTCCCAGGATTGGAGATTTCCTCCCACCAAGATCACTGTGAAATCTCCAGGCCCCAGGTCTTAAACAGAGTTTTACAAAGAACTGAGGAAACTGAAAACACAGTTAAACACTACCTATACAAGCACCATG